GCAGCAAAAACCATTGTCATATTCGGAATCAGCATAGTCGATAACCTATTGTCCACTAGATTTCAACAAAAAAGCGAGCGGACACTTGGGGCAGTTCCATCGTCAGTCGTTTAGAAGATCAGTTTACAACTACTGAATATTTCTAAAAATGCAAAACGGAGTTACGTCACATGTAAAATCTTTCTGTGCAAATACAGCAGTCAGCAAAATTCGTTTGATTTTTTCTTCACTTTCCAATAAAGTTATGATTTCCATTTTGATTTTACAAAGTTTAGAAGAGACACTTTGTGCCTTATACTTAAAGGTTTCTGAAGATTGCTAGCCCAAAACAGACACTAGGCAAAGGTTTGTTCATGTTTTTTTTTCTTCGAAAATAATCAATAAATCGAAAATACACACAGAGCAACTTAGAATATACCTTAATAAAATGATTAAACAAAACAAAAACCACCTGCTCTGTGAACAAGATTAATCATTATGATCTCTCAACACTCAACTGTCTTTTAACATCTGAACGTGGCATAAAATTTCAACATTTAGGCGATTGTTCAATTTAGCAGAGTTTCGAAATCAACAAAGGCAAATTAGTACTAGATGGCGATACCGCAAAAATTAGACTGTAAAATGATGAGTCATCGGGTTAACGACACGAACTAGACGGCAAGCAATTTTGGTACCAAGCCTAACTGGTACCAATCCTCGAAGTCTAGGACTGGAACTGGCGCATGCCTACTTACAATATATACGCCATGTATAGAAAATATTCAAATGTGAATATGTCTATACAAAATATCCAAGTGTCAATATTCAACAGTCAATATTTTGAATATGAATATGGAAACTACTTGAATATTTGGAATAATTCGAACATGGTACATATTTAGAATTGACATCAACTTGTCAGACATCAGCAGTCAGACACATTGACGACTTTTTAAAGGAATCTCCACATTAAATTTAATCTAAGAAATGCGTACAATCGGATCCAGTGCTTCTTTGTTGCTCTATTTTCAATTTGTGTTAATCTATCCTATTATGTCATTATCATCAACTATATCTTTTAAGTCAGACAGGCACTACAGATACATGAAAGCGTTTGCTTATTTTTAGTCTTTATTGTTTTTCACAATATTTAGATAGAATCCTTTTTCATGATACCTTTAGTTTAATGCTTATTCATCATTTATTGTGTCTAAATAACATTCGATATTATGCGCTTCCATTTTATTTGTAGGTGGTTCAGCAAGCAATCGTTGGACATTAGTATTTGATGGTGATATTAATTTATCTGCTTGTATGTCATTTTTTAATATAATGTGTTCATTTATAATGATGCCCCTTTGGTTAATGACAATTGGTCAAAAATTCTATTTAAATGATTTAAAAATTAAAATTCCATATTTCTATTTATTTCGCTCATTAGCAACAGTTATTATTCCATTATCTATAGGTGTTTTATTATCCTATTTTATACCAAAATTAAGTGATAAAATTCGTTTTATAATTAAACCAACAATGTTATTTTGTATAATATATTTTTTAGTATTTGGTACAATAGTTAATTTTTATCTATTTAAAATGATTAATTTAACAACTGCACTTAGTACTCCATTATTACCATGGCTAGGTTTTCTATTTGGTGCATTGTTTGCCTATCTATTAAAACAAGATTGGACAAGAATTAAAACAGTAGGAATAGAAACAGGAATACAAAATATAAGTATAGCATTTATGGTATTATTATACTCATTTCCTCAACCAGAAAGTGGACAAGCGACCGTTATACCATTAATTATAAGTTATTTATCTGAACAACCCTTTCATATTGCACTCTTATATAAAATAATAAGGAGAAAATATTTTAATAAAGTACCGAATACCGATATTCAACATGAATTAACTGATTTGTAAATACATGTTCCGGTTTTTATTATTCTAATGACATTTTTTACAGGGTGACCCAAAATTACGCGATATTTTTTTTTGAAATTTCAAACAAACTTATTTTCAAAAAAGAACATAATATTTATTCAAAATGTCCGCCCTTTGCTTCGATCACTGCATCTAACCGCCTCATCCAATCGTCGATGGCTTTGTTGATAATCTCCTGGTCCAAGTTGTTGAAGGCATCTGGTA